GTGACATGTCGTGCGTGGAGAATCTTATATCGATTCTTAATGCTCGTGTTACTAAAAAATCATTTCGACTTTCAATTCATATCGATTTCATTCAATACTCAATATAATGAGTGTTTTCATAATGTTTACTTGCACGAATTATATAAATCATTGTGCATTTAAGAATGTTATTAAGAATATAAAATTGTTATTACCAAAATGTGGAATATTCTACTTTTTGATCAGTTATTTAATGAAATTAATAAATGGTAAGTAATAAATTTTATAGTTTTAAAGTAAAATTACCTTCCAATGAATAGAAAATGGTTGGAAATGTTAAGACGTTTGGTGGCTTGTAACAGACCTCGAACGGTAAGGCCTTCGCAGAAGCAGACGACTACAAGAGCGTTGGGATCTTGTTTAAGGTTTAAGATAACTTTGTCGAATACTTCATCAGCTGCGTTGCTCAAAACTGAATCCTCGCGTGCTATGCACACGTCGACTTCTTCGGCCAATTCCCTGAAAGCCTGTATACCGGATTGTCCGTAATTTTCTGCAAACGATGTAAACGATAACAGCCTGTTAAATTTGTCGAATCAATTTACCATCCGTGTTAACTGCCGACACGTACGTCCATCCGTGATGTCTAACTATGTCCAACATGACCTGAGCTTGGTAGTAATCGGAGGGTACCACTCGTAAGAAGTAATTGAATCGACTCTTATCCGAGAGATCTTTCGAGGTGGTCGAGTAACCGACCTGCGGTAAGTGGAAAAGTTGCAGAAGGTTCTGCACTTGAAGAGCAACGGAACTGGAACCAGGTCCGACGACTCCTATGAGTGGTCCTCGAGGTTCTCCCAGGCTGTTATTCAGGCAAGTGTTGTGGTTGATTGATAAGGGTGTGATTGCATCCCTAATAAGTTCGATGCTCTGTTGAAGAGCGACGGGAGCGTACCAGCAATCGTCTCGGATCTCCACGCCGATGGTCAGATTGGGGAGGATCGTCGGATCGGCATTGATGGCGTCAATGGTCTGGAAGGCCACCTCGACCCTTTGGATGCCGTACAGCTCGCGTATCCTGCCGCATCGGATGGTGTGCGATTGCTTTTTCGCCTTGCCGGCCGGCTGATAATGGAGCGGAAAAAGGGCACCGATTATGAAATCGCCGCTCATGAAAGCCGCCACCTTATCCTCCTCCTGAGCTTTATTAACAGCAGCCATTGCACAGAGAACGAACAGGACGAAACCACCGAACAGCCCCATCCCTTCACCCTCCTTCTCACCTCTCGCTCTGCAAGGAAACACAAAACACATACGTCTGACCCAATTTGCATACTTAATTAAAAATTAAATACAGTAGTCCGTTCATTACGAACACACCCTTCAGACGATACACAATATGAAACAACAACAACAGCGTAAAAAGAAGAAAAAACCTGTAATAACAACGACGCCTAGTTGAAAATACGCACGCGAATTCAAGTTCGTAGCACTCGAGATTAATTCTTTCTCCTTCTATTTTTTTTTGTATTTGCTGCCCGCTATTTTCTGGTTTCTGGCATACAAACAACAGCAAGAAACATTACAACAATCCACCGTTCTAATTAAGCCGTGATAATGAGGAATGCACCCAGCATACTGTAATGTTGAAATCAGCGATACAGAATGAAGAATATCAAAAGAATTTAATTAATTAACTGTTTAGAAACTAATTCAATTCCACCGGGATGCTAAAATAGCACATGCACATAAACCTAATTGAAACACGCAAATTTTGATTTAGTTAGTTTCCCTTCCTTTTTAATAAACGCGATTTTAAATGATCATTATTTTAATTAATTTATTAGATATTTTTTGCTTACATTATTGTATAAAAATAAGTAATTAATTCGTACGTTGAGTACGTCAGACTTCAATCTTATAATTTATAATGTTCTTCAAAGAAAATAAACCGAAAAAAATGAGTATTTTTCATGACGATGTTTCCATTTCCTGCAAAAAGCTGCGTACAGGTGAAGCACACTTCGGAAGCAAGAACCGCAAGGAATGAAAATGCATTTTGCGCAGACGAAATGGTTGAAAAGTCGCCGAGTGTAATTCGCTTTGCGGAAACGGAGAAAAAAACGAAGCGAAATGGAAAAAAATGTAATTAAAAAAGCGAAGAGGAAACAACTAGTTACAGATCAATCAAATTTCACAATGGGGAGCAGCGGTGTTTTTTTCGTTTTATGCATTGATATTTTTCTACTATTGCTTGTGGCACGGTGATCTGAACAAAAGCTATTACCTTTTCGACGGTTGTTGTTATGTGTGTGTTTTTTTTTATTGAAATTTCGTTGCAGCTGTTGCTGTTATTGTCGATTCGGTTTAAAATCTATTGCAAGACAATAGGTGCAAAATATCAAAAAAAACGTGGACTTTACATGGAAACAAGAGCAAAACCAACAAGCCAGATAGCAAATATTGTTTCTTCACGTAATGGAGTGTCGGATGATAATCCGCGATTGCACACAATTTAATCCGTTATCAGTCAATAAACTCAGCCGGGATACTAAAATAATAATAAATAAAAAAACAATCCCGAAATAAAAACACACGCTAAATAGCTTTCCGATAATCCAGTAGATTTATGGTAGTTATTTTCTGCTCATTAATTTGTCGCGAATTTACTGCAACTTGAACGTCACGTATCAATTGGAGAGAAATGCCTTTTTGGCCAAGACGAAGGTTTCCTTTCATAATCAACTCAATTAAACCGTTCGGAATCGTGACGATCGAAGCTTTAATAATAAAGTTCTAAAACTGCAAGATGTTAAACGGAAAAAAAAAGACAAATATTACAAGATTTTCAGAATATTATATAATAAATTTAAACAGTCTGTAAATATTAACAATTAAAGCAAATGATTTGTAAGAATTATGTAACGATATTACTACAAACTACGTAAATCAAGTATAATTATTAATTAGAAGGTTTCCTTTCAAAACTTTCCATTAGCTACGACGTTCTTGCGTGTAGTTTGATGTTTGAAAACTAGTTACTCTAACGAATTTTCTTCCATTATACTCGAGTCCTATTATATTTATTCCTTAGTTAGCAAACATAAACTATTCACTATACAAGTTGCTCAATTTTATTGTTTATTACATTATATTAGTACTAATTAAAACCTTTTTCAATACAAATTCAACACCACGAAACGCATCAAAACAATTCTGCAAATATTATTTAATTTGCAAATGTTGCTGGTTAGAGTATTAACTATTAAGAAGGCGACACGCGAATACGAGCCGCGGTGCACGGCGGTTATGTAAATGTTAAAAGTACATAAAGCGAACTGAAATTAGGAACCAGAGGAAAATCGGCCTGGAAACGATTTATTCGTGCAAACAGTAACTCGAGTCTTCGTCGATAGTTAAATTAACAATAAATAATAATTAATAATTTATATCATCTTATTTTTTTCGCTTATAACTCCAACAATTGTATTATTTATATATTAATATAATGTTTTTGCTTTTGTAAAAAAATATTTCTTCTTTTCTTGATTGCAATTTCTTCTGATCAATCTTCAAAATCTGCGTTAACAAAAAATTTAACCGTATTAAAAGACATAACTTTTTATTGTTGATGGTAACTGGAGGATAAAGATCAGTTCTCTTTTATTTATTAACGTCTAATTGTTTTATTCTAAACAAAACGAAATAAATGTTAAATTTATTGTTTTTATTTATAAATAATGTTGTAACTTTTAATGCATTCCACGAAACGCGATGTGTTTCGTAATAGAGAACTGTAACACTTATATATTATAAGAACGGTTGTGCGCTCGAATTCTGTGGCTATTACTACATTTGCTCTTTCAAAACTTTTAATGAACTTTACAAGTCCAATGAGTTTCATATTATAGGAACTTCATCTCATTTCCCTGGTGTTTATTTAAAACGTCGCCGAGGTCGAAGAGTGTTACAAAGGCGTGCACAACACATTTGTTTTACAAATTGAGATTCACAGAATTTGAATGCATTTGCAATTCTCTTTTTGTTGTTCGAAATAATTATTGTTTAATTTCAACAATTTATAATTTTTAGTTCAATTAAATTAAGTTTTTCAAAAGATAAATGCTGGAAATAATTTTTATAACTAATAAACTGAAGGATTTTCAAGCTAAATTATTATAAATTTCTCTAATTATAGATATATTGTTAATTTATTGACATTTAAATCATTTATATTAGTTTATTATATGTTTTAAGTCAAATAGAATAGAAAAAATAGTAATAATTTGTTACCTATTTGTATTTGGGTTGATCCACTATAAATTGAAAACGAACCGGCCATAATTCAGAGACTTAAACTTAATTTATATTCCCATTACAGCCATAAACTCCTGACCAATTAATGTACCATACTCTTATTAATCGCACCATTAACGTTTGAAAAATTATAAGCTGCGATTCTAATTTCACAGCAAAATTTAAATAGATTGTTCCCTCTGGTTTATTATAGTTTAATAAGAGTTGTAATAATTACAGATATTCCTATTGTTAGGTTGAAAAAGTAGCAGAAAATTCAAAACCGATTTTCTTTTTGGCAAAAATATTTGTTTCTCAATATGTGTTTATAATTACAGAAGAAAATCATTGAAATAAAAGAACAATAAATGTTTGAATAAGTTTTCACATTATTGTATTTTGTTCTAGCTCAGTTCTATTGAATATATAAGAAAATGCGAAATGAAGAACGAAATAGATGCGAAAACTTTTGCTAGAGTAAATGCAAGAACATTGTTGCGATGGATGCGAAGGACGTGAAGAAAATCTCAAATATTTCACTATATTTTCGCGCGGAACATTGCTAAGGGGTTTACACAGAAGCCTTTTCATCCTCATACACTCCGGCTTCTTAAGTCTAAAGAAATGCAAAATGCGTAAATGGAATTACGAGATTTTCCGCGTCCGCTTCCTGCGTTTCGAGGGTACGCGCGAAAATCTAATTTACGGAGGAAGCGATGGAAAACTATTTCGCGATTTCTGAAATCAATAACGAAACAGGAAAACCACCAGATCAAATAAAAAAATCGTTCAGAATCAATGCCAAGAAACAAGAGTTAACAATAATATCGAAACAAGAACTAAATATAGAAGATATTATGGAAAACTTCCGCATTTAGTTCTATATTTTGTGAAATCTGTATACTTTTAATGAATAATTTGAATTTATTTGAATAAGTTTATTTGGAAGTTTTCAAATACAAAAACATTGAGGAAGAAATAAATGTAAATATTTTATTTGTTTAAGAATTTTCAACTGGTATTAAGTTTAATAAATTTAAATTAAAGATTTCTTACCACTAGAAAATCATGTTGAAGACAATTCTGTTCCGTCTCTTTATTTACTTTAATGTTTGTTTATGGATTTTGCAATTATTATTTTTTTTTGTAATGTTTTATAAAGTTGCGACGATGCACAAAGTCGCGCGTTGACTGATAAACACGCGGCAAAACGGGGAGAGTCGCCGCGGCGTCGCGATGCCGACACGCGCGCAACCCTCTCGAATATAGTATAAAAAAGTATAACGCTTTTGCACTAAAACTATTAAATCACTCGGTGTGATGCGACTTTATGAACGGAACGGACATCTCGGATGGCTGATTCTAAGCGTGGCCAACAAGTTTGTTAACTTTTTCAAGAATAGCGAAGTTCAACGATGATGAACTTTCTCAAAAAAAAAATATAATAAAAATGAAGTGTAATCAATCTCACTTACTGCATTTTCCATTTAATTAATTACCAATATTTGCTGATATTTGTCAATGCTAATTAGATCATCAAACACTCGAATTAAAGATGAAAGTATCACCTTCCCAACAAGTACACTTGCAGCTTTTGTGTAGACACACGTTTTCATTAATTTCTGTATTACCACCCAGGATAATTACTTTACGATCTCATTAATTTCTCATAGTATTGAATTTCTGATATTCATATGATTTCTCAATTATTTCTATGGAATCATCTTTATTAGATTTCTAATTCAATTGGATTTCAAAAAAAATACGTTGCTATATACGACGATGTCTTCAGTTTTTAATGAAATACTCGAGAACCGCTGAAGATAATTGCATCACCTTACACTCAAATTAAAGCTGAAAGATTCTCCTTTGCATCGTTTGTTATGATTGAAGCTAAACTCCAATATATTGAGTTTGAAAATTAATGAAAAACAATAATTCATTTAAATTTTCATTTTTAGTTAATATCTCGAATATTACATAACGTTTTTATTGGATATATCCAGAAGATATATATGAAAGGTGCATGTTTGGGGTATGTTACTGTGGTTTCATCCATTTGGCTGTAATTCGCGTTCAAATAAAATTAAAAGCAGTGTTTTCGCATTTAATTGTGAAAGTAAATAGAATAGATGAAAGCTGGATCTTTGGGAGAATGTAGCTGGTATTATTAATACATTTGGTTGTATTTCAAATATATTTGAAAATTTATATTTATAGTTCTAAAGAATGATTCGTTTGCTTTCGTTTGCTATAAAATACATACATTTTGGTTAATTAATAAGAAAATTATTAAGCTTTAATGGTTGGCTGTTTTCGCAAATCAAAACGCAAGTCCCCCCCGCATGGATTCTCGAAAATGCCAGAAAATTTCGATATGCATTAAGAGACTAAGAATAGCGAGGAAGTAGCTGTCTAGTCTGCAATGTTCTAAATGCAAACTTAAAGAAAAAATTCCCATTTACTTCTTCCGTCTTTTTCCTTTTACGGAAAACTTTTCTTTCAATACCACATTCCACCTTGTACATCGATCACTAATGTTATTCGTCATTAAAAAAGATGTTTCTGAAATTATGGTAAATTCTACAACAACAACACACTGAAGCAGTATCTTCATATAAGAATTTGCATTAATAGTCAAGAGGTAAATAGTTAACTTGTCAACAATTAATTGTTGAATTAAATTTGTTATTATTTCAAGTGCCAGCCGCACTTAAAGTTCTCCAAAAAGGAGAGGGCATTGATTATTAGCAGTACAAGTTTTCATTTGCAAATATTTGAAACCTTAACTGCAGAATGTGAGCAACAACATTACTTCTTTAAGCAGAGAGATAATTACTAACAAATATGAAAAAATAATGACTTATCCCTAATCCTTTGAGACTATATAACATTTGTGATTACCAGGTGCAGTGAAAATACTGGAAAAACAAAACTGTAATTTTTTGTCAAAGCCCCAGAAAGAGACTAAAAGTATTTCTTCTTTCATGTTTCTTAGACATAGTATATCAATTCTAAATGCCAGGTGCAGTGAAAATACTGGAAATTAAAAGAAATGTAATTTTTCATTAAAAACCCATTTCTTCTTCAGGAAGACTCAGCAACATCCATGATTCTATTGTTTCTTCCTACACAATCCATAAAGACTGGATAACATTTCTATTTGTCATAAGCAGTGAAAATTAAAAAAAAAAGTAAAATTTCATACTTGCACCACAAGAAGATATTAAAAGTTTCCCCCCATGCCACATATTGTATTGTTATGTCCACAGAGATAGTGTAACAAGTATAAATGCCAAATACAGTGAAAATAGGACTAAGCTGAATGTTTATCTTAAGCACAGAACAAAGGTGATTCCTTCCCTGTTTATAAGGACAGCAACCATCTATTGTTCCCTTTTATATAATGTGTAGAGTTTTCTTAAAAATTTACTTGAAAAGTGGCTATTTCTTTATTACCTAAAAACCATTGTGTATTCGTTCCAACATAACATCGCGGGCAATATACTGATGTAATTATAATATATGTATAAAAGTTCTATAGTTTTGAGTTATTCCTTTTTTTTTTTGGAAATCCTCTTACAAAATCCATAGAAATCCCGACACATTTGACAGCTCGTAGGAAACGAACCGATAACTGCAGAAAGCTGTCAGTAGGCTCGTTGGAAACATAAGATTTTTAGCTTTAATTTGAGTATTTAATGATCTATTTAATTTGTGCGACTATCAACAATTTTTAAAAAAACCATGACCATATATTGTCACACACAAAAACGCAACTTGATTCAAATTATAGTTCTTAAAATTCTGATGGCTCTGTTTGTCCTAATTAAAACGCATATAACTCGAAAAATAATTAGCACATAGCTTATTAAAATAAAGCACTAAAATTATATTCGTTTAATCGTTCTTTTAACAAAGTTCTTTATATAAATTAGTACGCTTGTAAGGAAATGGATTTTCTACAGCGCTAAAATGCTCGAACTACAACCTTTGCCATAATGCTAACAGATGCCGCTAGTTACTATAAACACGTAATATTCATATTACGCCTAAAGTGCAGGCAACCAATCATACATTTTACTTAAACACCAATTTCAACAAGAATGTTAGACATGGATGTTGATTTTGAATATATTATTTTATGCAATATTCTGAATGCAAACTTAATGAAGAACGTGCTCCGTTGCTTACTTCTTCTATGCGTCTGTTTGGTATACTTTTACAGTTTGAATGAATGTTTGAGTTTAAAATGTTAAAATCCATCAATCATCAAAGTATGTTTCTGTACAGAAAAGATAGAACATTGAAGCTTAATAACTTTGATATTAATTGACCAATATTAATGTATTTAGTATCAAATAATAGCGAAAGAATCACTCTATTTTAAGGTTTTAATATGAATATTAAATATTAATTAAACAATGCGGTTTATAATGATGGAACGGAATTTTGTACGAATAGTTTGATATGAAGAATGCGTTTGAACACATTATTCCCTAAATGAAATTGCTTTGATCAAAATGCGCTATAAATCAAACGGTTACTTTCTTTCATTTTAAATTTTATGTATTTTTCTTTTTATAAATTATTTCAATTCATGTATTTATGTCTTGAATTAGAATTTATCAAAATTATAGTTAATTTCATAACTAGAACATTATAAAGAGTAAAAGTATATCTCGAATAAATTCCAAATCAAAATAAGTTTCAATTAGGAGAAGCTAATGTAGCATTACTTTCCCATTAGGCTCATCATTTGCATCCATCATTACAAAACAAAAATGATTCTACGAACTTAGTGCTTTTGATTCACGGTCAAACGCAATTTCCATTAATATTTAATGCGCCGAAGAAGCACTCATAAATGGCACACTACGCATCAAGTTTAATATCCCATAAATTCTATTAATTTAATCATAATGTCTTGCACTTAAAAGACAAACACCGATACTTTTCTCAAGGCGTTTTGCTTTAATATCAATACAACCATGAGACTGTTAACAACGATTGCGATTATTCTTTTAATATCTGAAGTTTCATCGATTAGAACGACCATAATATTTGGGAGCATCGAGGATGAATATTTTGAGAAAATGGGAGATCTCCAATCTTTCTATAATATAGATCAAAACTATAAAGGAAGTTTGGTGCAATTTGATTTCATGGAGATCATCGTGAATTCTTTGTTCGATCTGCAAGTGTTCATGGAAAAGTTCAACAACAAATTGAAGCTTTACGCTGATATTATATTCACTGTTCTTGGTGATGTTGACGATTTGGATGAAGTTCTGAGATTGTGTCGAATATGTTGGTCCTTGGATGTATATAATTATTATATATTCTTGAAGCACGACAATGCTACTCTTCGTATATTTTACAATCCTTTCAAGGATAAATTGTACTTTGACGGTTTGGTCGAACACATCTTCGACGATCAACAGCTGAGGAATATTAAAGTTACGGTGATTGATGATTTCCCTCAATATTACATTAATTATAAGGGAGAACGTAAAAGCGTAGCTTTGTTCACTTTGCTTCAATTCAGAAGGGAAACTAGGGTAACTCCTATAGTATACGCACCGAAAACTTTAGAGCAAGCGGT